TCCTTCTGCCTTAGCTTTCCAAGTAGCTGGAACTACAGGCGCATGCCACCACGCCCAGCCAATTTTTCTAGATTTATTGTAGAGATGAGGTTTCATCAAGTTGCCCGGGCCAGTCTCGAACCCCTGGGCTCAGGCAATTCTCTCGCCTCTGCCTCCAAAATTACTGGGATTACAGGCGTGAGCCACTGCGCCCAGCCTTAAAAAGCAGTTTTTGTACTCATCAATTTGAATGCCGTTTAGTGTTTCTGCCATTTTTGTTTGTTTGTTTTTAGCATTTTTATACATTGGCAAAATGTTTTCCTTTTTTCTTTGGGAACACAAAGTTGTTCAGGGCGAGATCAGATGAATAGAGAGGGTGGGGAGTGGGTGTCATGCCATTTTTTGGTCAAAACTGCTGAACGTTCTGCAATGTGTGGGCAGGTGCACTGGTAAATCACCCATCATGAAATGGGCAAAGGAGATGAAAGAATCTCAAAAAAAAAAAAAATTCACTGAAGCTGAATGCAGCCTCTTGCAACAATGCTAACAGGTATACTGATGCCAATGGGTTCCAAGAACATTTACCTAGCAGAGGAAGACATATACTACAAGGAGCCTGAACTCTAAAAAATAATTCCAGTTCTTTTGGGACCCCTCCATTTGTCTGTCCTTGTACTGTTGCCATATTGTCTTAATTACTGTAGCTTTGTAGTGAGATTCTGAGTTTTTAAACTAGTTATAATCATTTTACATGAACTACTTACCATTTATGTCTGATTATACAGCATGACAATTATGAATATATAGTTAAATATGCCATATTAAACTTGAATAAGTTTTATTTGATCTTATCAGTATGCCATATGCATATAAGTTCAGTTTTCATAGATCATTGCTTGTGTATTTTGTATTTTTGCTTATGCAGCATCTGAAAACAATTAGAAAAGCATTGGTTGTAATTTATCTGCCATTATCTTTTAAATGGCTCTTAAGGGCAATTGTGAGATTATCTTTTCATGGATATTTGCCTGTTGAGTATTCTTTCTACAAAAGAACTTAACTTGAATTGTTCTTTTCTTAATTTATAATTTATAGATTTTGCATGCTGAAACTTCTCCGTCAGAAGAATGGCCCTTCACAGTGTCCTTTGTGTAAGAATGCTGTAACTAAGAGGTATATTATTTGGATAATGATGGGAGGTTGGAAGTAATGATGGCAAGAAAAAGTAGAAATTCTTTAATAATATAGCTGGTGTTCCTATAAAACCACTCATCAGTAGAAAAAATGTATAAAAATGTTTTTAGCAGACAGCAAATTTTCTAAAGCTATTTTCCTGAAAGTTTTATGGGCTGTCTGCCTTATACAAGTATTAGCAAGTTACTGCTATTTTCTAATGCTTCTGAGTAATGTAAGAATTTGCAATATTAGCTAAAGTAGGGCTACTTCACCCTGCCGCCATTGTCTGGTAATCTTGCTTTAATTTTCCTCACTGTGTTTACTTCTACCTAATTATTTTCATACACACAATATATTGATATACTGTGCATCTGTTCTGCTACAATGTAAGTTCTGCCAGAGCAGTACTTTTGTCTCAGTCAATATTGTTTCTCTAGTGTTTAATACATAGTAGGCACTCAGATATTTAAAGGATTGAATGAATTATATTTTCATCTCTCCTAAATCTGGATCTCTCTTTGGACATTACTATCTATCCGTACTTCCAAAATAATATAATCATTTGATAGAAATCCTTGAGAAGCAGAGCTAGCAGTGAGGGATTGGGCAGGGTTCAGATGTGGAAACTAGTGACTTCTCTATGCAGTGGATTTATATCTACTGTGAATTCACAGTAGTATTATATCAGGTAGTTTTAGGCTTTTGGCAGACTTAAACGAATGACAAAAACATTATAAAAAACAATGCTGCCATACATTATTCTGCTATCAATGATTATATTGACATAGAAATTTTCTGTTCTTGCTGCATCTTATTTTTGTTTGCATATTTTTCCTTATTTTAGTGTCCTTAAAAAGTTGATAATCATTTGCTGAATGTGTCTCTCAAACAATTTAATTTCAGAAGCCTACAAGAAAGTACAAGATTTAGTCAACTTGTTGAAGAGCTATTGAAAATCATTCATGCTTTTGAACTTGACACAGGTTTGCAGTGTACGTGTTAAACCCAACACTAAAGTGACTGTCCATGAAAACTCAGGAAGTTTGCACAGTTATTTTCTGTGATTGGGTGATAAGACCTTTTGGTTTAGGTTAATTTTAGTTCTGTATTTATAATCTTTTTTTTCTTTTTTCTTGAGATAGGGTCTTGCTCTATCTCCCAAGCTGCAGTACAGTGATACTATTATGGCTTACTGTAGCCTGCCTCAAACTCCTGGGCTCAGACAATCCTTCTGCTTCAACCTCCTGAATAGCTGGGACTACAAGCACTTGCCACCACACCCAGCTAATTTTTTTATTCTTTTGTAGAGATGAAGTCTCACTCTGTTGCCCAGGCTGGTCTCAAACTCTTGGGCTCAGGCAATCCTTCTGCCTCAGCCTCCTGAATAGCTGGGATAACAAGCACTCGCCACCACACCCAGCTAATTTTTTGATTTTTTTGTAGACACAGTCTCACTGTGTTGCCCAGGCTGGTCTCAAACTCTTGGGCTCAAGCAATCCTCCCACCTCAGCCTCCCAGAGTGCTGGGATTACAGGCATAAGCCACCATGCCTGGCCTATAATCTATTTTTTAAATCACTCGTATCTTATTTCATCAATCCTAAAATGCACATTTTTCACAGCTTAGCGTCTCTGAAATTGGGAGTATCTTAATGTTGATGGTGTGTCATTGTTTAATTTAGTGTGTTTTATTTCTTAGTGGTACAGAAAATAATAGTGCATCTTACATTGTTAGTGTCTTAGATTCAGTGAAATATAGTGCTAATAGGCAAATATGATAGTGTTGAAGTAGAAAACAAGCAGAAATATGTTGATGGTGTCTGTGTTTGGTTTTTTTGTTTATTTGTTCCCTAAGAGTAGAATTTCCAAGTTTATTTATTTGTTTGTTTTTTATTTGGAGTCTTACTCTGTCACCCAGGCTAGAGTGCAGTGGCATGCTCACGGCCATCACAACCTCGACCTGCTGGGCTCAGGCAATTCCTCTGCCTCACCCTTCCAAGTAGCTGGAACTACAGGCACATGCCACCACACCCTGCTAATTTTTTGATTTATTATGGAGACAAGGTCTCACCAAGTTGCCCAGGCCGATCTTGAACCCTTGGGCTCAGGCAGTCCTCTTACCTTGGCCTTCCAAAGTGCTAGGAATGTAGGCATGAGTCCAAGTTGATTTAAAAAAAAATAATTATAAGTAACCTTAATGCACTGTCTTAACACAACAAAGAACATACACAGAATTTCTCTTGGTTTCTCTGATTACAATTTATACTTTTTTTCTGACTATAAAATTGTTTTCTCTCATAATTTCCAGTTGCAAACAGTTATAATTTTGCAAAAAAGGAAAATAACTCTTCTGAACATCTAAAGGAGGAAGTTTCTGTCATCCAAAGTACGGGCTACAGAAACCGTGCCAAAAGACTTCAACAGAGTGAACCTGAAAATCCTACCTTGGTAAAACCATTTTCATTTACTCTGGCAACATCTCAAGTGAGCATTGTGAGTTTGTGAATGTGCCAGATGCTCATGGCTTTATATGAAAAGTCAGTAAAGGAGGAAAGATGGTTGGACAAGTGTTCTAATAAGAATTAGAGGAGTTCAGGGAAGGTCAGGGTACCTGGTGTGGTTAGAAAAGACCTTACAGTGGGACAAGGTGGACTTGCCCATAATCCCAACTATTCAGGAAGCTGAGGCAGGAGGATCACTTGAGCTCAATAGTTTGAGACCAGCCTGGACAACATAGTGAGACCCTTGTCTCACAAAAAAAAAAAAAAAAAAAAAGATAAAAGAGAGAGAGAAGGGATATTACAGGTCCTTCCCTTGCTTTGGAGCTTTTTCTGTTCTGATGCTTGTCCAAAATAGCCGCAAGGTAACTGACATTTTTAAACATTTGAAAATTAAAAGATGTAATTGTCAAATAAAATGCAGTGATCTGCTCTGTTTTTACTCATATGTGAATGAATAATTTAGATCTTAAAAATAATAGTTCCCATAGTACTAACATTCATTTTTCAGGAACTGTAGAAGGGTTTAAAAGGAAAAAGAAATGCTTTATCACAGTAATATTGGGCTTTTAGATATTCTTTTTTTATTTATTTAAAGACATGGTTTTGCTCTGTCCCCCAGGCTGGAGTACAGTGGCAGGGCCATAACTCATTGCAGCCTCAAACTCCTCCTGCCTTGGCCTCTCAAGGTGTTGGGATTATGGGTATGAACCACCACATCCAGCCCCTAAATATTCTTTCCTTTACTGAATGTTCTTAGAAGTGCTCGGGATCTGTTGTTACCGTTTATTCTTTTTAAGAATTCATCTTAGTTGCCAACCCTGTTATTAGATGTGATTGGAAATGTGTATCGAGTATCTGACCAACAATTGGTTGACCATTCTTTACTATATTGCTTAGCAGGAAACCAGTCTTAGTGTCCAACTCTCTAACCTTGAAATTTTGAGATCTCTGAAGACAAAACAGATACAATCTCAAAATAAGTCGGTCTACATTGAATTGGGTAAGGGTCTCATATTTTTAAATTTTTAAATAATAATTGCTGGATTGCTTATTTATATATTTTTGTCAAAACCTTGGTCATAATTTATACATGTGGTAGGGAGCTTTGGGAAGTGAATTTGATATGCCCTATGGTGAGTTATAAATAATGTAAAAGATGCACTTCTCACCTTGAAGAACCTTACTTAATAAAGGGAGCAAAAGAAAGAATGTCTGATTATAAGTGTTAATATATTTTGGAAAGATAGAGTAGCAATAAGAAAACACATGATGAATCACTACAGTATTTAGAGGGATCCAAGCTAAATGGTACTTTTAAGAAGAGTTGAGCTCAGAGTTGAAAAAGTTGAAAAAGTTCTCTCTAGTTGGCTTATCTTTTAGAATATATACTGGAAAGGATGGCCATCTTTTGAGGTCCCGTATACCACCGTATGCTTGCCATAACACTTATTAGATTTTATTGAAATTACCAAATGTGTTCCCCCCTTAAGATTGTTAGTTCCTGAACAACAGGTGTGTTATAAAAAATAATCAGAATAATTAAAGTAGTTAATATTTAGGAACATTTAACTATATTCCAGGCACTGTTGTGCTTTTCTTGTATAACTCATTTCAGTTGCCTGTCAAACCTCTGAGATTTTACTATTAGACTTATTTTACAGAGAAGTTAAGAAATTTTGCCAAGGTAGCAAAGCTAGTAATAGCATAATCATGAGTCAGACCTAGGAAGCTGGGCTTCAGAGCCTGTGCTTTTCACCACTTCTCTGTATTGCCTGGCATTTCCGTCATTGTGCTTGCCACATAGTGGATGCTCAGTAAATATTTCTAGATGAATATCTGTTTTGTAACAAGTACATTTTTTTCAGTTGAACCCTTTGATAAAAATTATTTTACTGATTTGGTTTTTGGGGGTTTGGGGAAACTTTTTTAGGATCTGATTCTTCTGAAGATACTGTTAATAAGGCAAATTATTACAGGTGAGTCAAAGAACCTTTATCTATGAAGTTGATATTTTCCTCTTAAGTTAACATCAAGGCTTGGTGTTTCTCTAGATTAGAATGATTGTATTGCAAGAAACCTTAGAGATCATCTACTTTAATCCCCTCATTTTATAGCTGAAGAAATACCCTTTTTGATTGCTTTATTAGTAATGTCCTAAGGAGTTTAAGATAACAGTAGAATTCTGTACATGCTTGATTCTAGCACTGTTCTGTAAGAGTGAGTTTTTTTTGTTTTTGTTTTTTTTTGAGTTGGAGTCTCACTCTGTCGCCCAGACTGGAGTGCAGTGGCCGCTCCCGGCCACCACAGCCTCGCCTGCTGGGCTCCAGCGATCCTTCCGCCTCAGCCTTCCAAGTAGCTGGAACTACAGGCGCGCACTACCACGCCTAGCTAATTTTTTGATTTATTGTAGAGATGAGGTCTCACCAAGTTGCCCGGGCGGGTCACGAACCCACGGGCTCAGGCAATCCACTCACCTCAGCCTCCCAAAGCACAGGATTACAGGCTGAGGCACCGAGCCTAGCTGTGAGTTCCTCTTATACAGTAATACTGACACAATGATCTATTGTGGCTGGTGAAAATGTTAGAGAATTTCATTTTCAACTCTTTCTTTTCTCTGTTCCTTATTTCCACCTATCTCTCCAACTTTGTTTATATAAATTATATAATAATCTATAAGCAGCTCCCACTGGCTTACCTGCCATATTACTTTTCTGAGGAATTATTGTTTAACCTGGTCTAAGATCTGGTCTGCACTATGATGGTGTCATTGTTAGTTTTTGTTTGCAAGTGACTTTCCTAATCTCACAATTGGGAGTAAATAATTTTTAGACTGAAAGGCATAGAAAGCAGTGCAGCAAAGTGGTGACCTTTGCCTTCTATTGGGATGTCTGCTCCATGCTAGCACTCCCTTTGTTTAGATACCCTTGCTCTTGCCTTCTCATTAAAATATACTTTTAAGCTTTTTTTTTTTTTTTTTAAGTCAGAGTGTCACTTTGTCACCCATGCTGGAGTACAGGGGCAAATCACACCTCACTGGAGCCTTCACCTCCTAGGCATAGGCAATTTTTCTGACTCCAGCCTTCCAAGTAGCTGGAACTACATGCATGTGCCACCCCACCCTGGATCATTTTTTACATTTTTTGTAAAGATGAGGCCTCACTATGTTGCCCAGGCTGGTCTTGAACTCCTGGGCTCAAGCAATTTACCTGCTTTGGCCTCCCAAAATGCTGGGCTTACAGGCACTAGCCACCATGCCCCAGCATTTTTTAAACAACTATCTTTCGACTGTCATTTACATTTTGGCTCTTATTTGCATGTTCATGAAGCAATGTTCTACGCTACTACTATGATTTTTGTGATATTATTGTCCTCAGTCTTTGACAATTCCAGTTCAGCTAGAAGCTACTAAAGGAGAGAGGAGATTTAAATAAGTGAATCAGATTGATCAACGTACTGCAACCCTACCTGGAAGAACCAAAATATTTGACCTTGCATATAACTTGTATGTGTCACTAGGACTTCTGTCTTTTCCCTATAGTGTGAAAGACCAAGAACTGTTACAAATCACCCCCCAAGGAGCCAGGGCTGAAGCCAGTTTGGACTCTGCAAAAAATGGTAATGGCACCAATGTAATACTATAAGAAAATGACTGACAGTACTGAGAAACTATGGAGGGAGGGAGGGAGATGGGATTAACAGTAGCAAATATCTGTCTGGGGATGGGGAAACACCTCTTATCAACAGGGTGCCTGAATGAAACGTAATTGTACACCTAACCCTTAACTGTACCACACAAAACCATAATAAAAAATATTGATTATGAAAAAAAATGGTAATGGCAAGTTTTCCCAACTTAACAAGTACTAAAGAGAAAGTAGATAGATATAGTATTGTAGTTAGATTATTCTGAAGACCATTTAAGGCCTTTATAATTCACAAAATCTCTTGGCAGAGTTAGAATATTGTTATTTCTCAGCTGCCATGGCACAGCCTGGTATATTTCAATGGTATTAGACTAATGTGATTATAAAGGTACCCTACTAATAGTAACCGCGGGCTCAGGCAATCCACTCACCTCAGCCTCCCAAGGCGCGGGATTACAAGCTGAGCCACCGAGCCCAGCTTGGTTGTTACTCTTTACTTTTTTTTTTTTTTTTTGAGTAGGAGTCTCACTCTGTTGCCTAGGCTATAGTACAGTGGCACACTCGCAACCACCCACAGCCTCGACCTTCTGAGCTCAGGTGATCCTTCCGCCTCAGCCTTCCAAGTAGCTGGAACTACAGGTGTGTGTCACCACGCCCAGCTAATTTTTTTATTTATTGTAGAGACGAGGTCTCACCAAGTTGTCCAGGCTGGTCTTGAACCCCTGGGCTTAGGTAATCCTCTCCTCGGCCTCCCAAAGTGCTGGGATTACAGCTTGAGCCACCATGCCTGACTGCCCTTTACTTTTTTTTTTTTTTTTTGAGTTGGAGTCTCACTCTGTCGCCCAGGCTGGAGTACAGTGGCATGCTCACGGCCACCACAGTCTCAACCTGCTGGGTGCCCTTTACTTTTAATTGATGCATTTGTATTTCATCTTTTGCCTACTGGTTTTTTGTTTTGTTTGAGTTGGAGTCTCACTCTGTCACCCAGGCTGGAGTGCAGTGGTACCCTCACGGCCACCGCAGCCTTGACCTGCTGGACTCAGGCGATCTTTCTGCCTCAGCCTTCCAGGTAGCTGGAACTACAAGCATGTGCCACCATGCCCGGCTAATTTTTTGATTTATTGCATAGATGAGGTTCAAGACCCAGGCTGGTCTCGAACCCATGGCAATCCTCTCACCTTGGCCTCCCAAAGTGCTGGGATTATAGGCATGAGCCACCGTAGTTGGCCTGCCTACTGGTTTTTAAATATAGAGAGTATGAGTCTGTACAACAGTGTTAAGTAGATTTAATGACCAGTACTCCATCAGAACAGTCTTTTTTTTTTGAGTCGGAGTCTCATTCTGTCACCCAGGCTGGAGTACAGTGGCATGCTACTCACGGCCAATGCAGCCACAACGTGCTGGGCTCAGGTGATCCTTCCACCTCTGCCTTCCAAATAACTGGAACCAGAGGCATGAGCCACCACGCCAGCTAATTTTTTTATTTATTGTAGAGGCAAAGTCTAGCCAAGTTGCCCAGGCTGGTCTCAAACCCCTGAGCTCAAGCAGTCCTCTCGCCGCCGCCTCCCAAAGTGCTAGGATTACAGGCATGAGCCACCATCCCTGGCTAGAAAAAGTCTTTTAATAACTCTTAGAGGCTAGGGAAATAGAAAGCGCAGGTTTGTGTGTAAAATTCTGAAATTAAAATTGTAATGCTTTTGAGTGGAAATAATCTAGGTAAGTAGGAATTAAATGAAAGAGTGCAGTGACTCAGCCTGTTTTCCCAGCACTTTGGGAGGCCAAGGCGAAAGGATTGCCTCAACCCAGGGTTTCAAGACCAACCCAGGGTTTCGAGACCAACCCAGGCAACTTGGTGAGACCTCGTCTCTACAATAAATCAAAAAATAAGCTGGGTGTGGTAGCAGGCACCTGTAGTTCCAGCTACTTGGAAGACTGAGGCAGAAGGATCGCCGGAGCCCAGCAGGTCGAAGCTACAGTGGCCATAAGCTTGCCACTGCACTCCAACCTGGGTGATGGAGTGAGACTCCAACTCAAAAAAGAAAAAAAGAAAGAGTATGAGCTAAATCTTTAGGATATTTTGTAGTTTATGAGGTTAGTTTCTCTAAATATAGCCAGTTGCTTGATTTCCACCTCCAAGTTGTATTAAGTATGTATTTTTTAATGATAATTTTTGTCTTTAAGCATCTTATTTTATATATTTTCAGCTGCCTGTGAGTTCTCTGAGAAGGACATAACAAATACTAAACATCATCAATCTAGTACTAACGATTTGAACATCATTGAAAAGCATGCAACTGAGAGGCATCCAGAAAAGTATCAGGGTAGTTCTGTTTCAAACTTGCATGTGGAGCCATGTGGCACAAATACTCATGCCATCTCATTACAGCATAAGAACAGCAGATTATTACTCACTAAAGACAGAATGGACGTAGAAAAGGCTGCATTCTGTAATAAAAGCAAACAGCCTGTCTTAGCAAGGAGCCAACAGAGCAGATGGGCTGTAAGTAAGGAAACACGTAATGACAGGCAGACTCCCAGCACAGAGAAAAAGATACATCTGAATATTGATCCCCTGTATGAAAGAAAAGAACAGAAAAAGCAGAAGCCTCCATGCTCTCAAAGTCCTGAAGATATCCAAGATGTTCCTTGGATGACACTAAATAGCAGCATTCAGAAAGTTAATGAGTGGTTTTCCAGAAGTGATGAAATCTTAAGTTCTGATGACTCACATGATGAGGGGTTTGAACCAAATGCAGAAGTAGCTGGTGCTCTAGAAGTTCCAAATAAAGTAGATGGATATTCTTGTTCATCAGAGAAAATAGACTTACTGACCAGTGATCCTCGTGATTTTTTATTACATAAAAGTGAAAGAAACTGCTCCAAACCTGTAGAGAGTAATATCGAAGATAAAGTATTTGGGAAAACCTATCGGAGGAAGGCAAGCTTCCCTAACTTGAGCCGTGGAACTGATAATCTCATAGGAGCATTTGCTACTGAGCTGCAGATAATGCAAGAGCGCCCCCTCACAAATAAATTAAAACGTAGACAGAGAACTACAACAGGCCTTCAACCTGAGGATTTTATCAAGAAAGCAGATTTGTTAGTTGTCCAGAAGACTCCTAAAAAGATAAATCAGGGAGCTAGCCAAATGGAACAGAATGGTCAAGTCATAAATATTGCTAGTAATAGTCACGAGAATGAAACAAAAGGTGATTATGTTCAGAAAAAGAAAGATCCTAACCCAACAGAATCATTGGAAAAAGAATTTGCTTTCAGAACTAAAGCTGAACCTATAAGCAGTAGTATAAGCAATATGGAACTAGAATTAAATATCCACAATTCAAAAGTACCCAGAAAGAATAGGCTGAAGAAAAAATCTTCTACTAGGAATATACATGCACTTGAACTAGTAGTCAATGGAAATCCAAGCCCAACTAATCATACTGAACTACAAATTGAAAGTTGTTCTAGCAGTGAAGAGATAAAGAAAAAAAATTCTGACCAAATGTCAGTTAGGAACAACAGAGAGCTTCTGCTGATGGAAGATAAAGAACCTACAACTGGAGGCAAGAAGAGTAACAAGCCAAATGAACAAACAAGTAAAAGACATGCCGGTGATGCTACCCCAGAACTGAAATTAACAAACATGCCTGGTTTTTTTGCTAATTGTTCAAATACTAATAAACTAAAAACATTTGTCAATTCTAGCGTTCAAAGAGAAGAAACAGAAGAGAACCTAGAAACAATTCAGGTGTCTAAATATATCAAAGACCTGGTGTTAAGTGGAGAAAGGGTTTTGCAAACAGAGAGATGTGTAGAGAGTGCCAGTATCACATTAGTACCTGATACCGATTATGGTACTCAGGACAGTATCTCATTACTGGAATTTAACACCCCAGGAAAGGCAAAAATGGCACCAAATCAACACGCGAGTCAGTGTACAGCAATTGAAAGCACCAAGAAACAAATCCACGGTTGTTCTAAAGATACTAGGGATTACACAGAGGGCTTTAAGGATCCATTGAGATGTGAAGTTAACCACAGTCAGGAGACAAGCATAGAAATGGAAGAGAGTGAACTTGATATTCAGTATTTACAGAATATGTTCAAGGTTTCAAAGCGTCAGTCATTTGCTCTCTTTTCAAACCCAGGAAATCCAGAAGAGGAATGTGCAACAGTATCTGCCCACTCCAGGTCCTTAAGGAGAGAAAGTCCAAAAGTCACTCTTGAACGTGAACAAAAAAAAGAAAATCCAGGAAAGAAAAAGTCTAATGCCACACACATACAGGCAATTAGCACGACTGCAGACTTTCCTGTGGTTTGTCAAAAAGATAAGAAGCCAGGTGATTATGCCATTAAAGGAGACTCTAGTTTTTTTCCATCTCAATTCGGAGGCAGTGAAACTGAACTCATTACTGCAAATAAACATGGAATTCTACAAAACCCATATTATACACAATCACTTTCTCCCATCAGGTCATTTGTTAAAACTAAATGTCAAAAAAATCTATCAGAAGAAAGATTTGAGGAACATTCAACAACACCTGAAAGAACAATGGGAAATAAGAACATCATTTCAAATACAGTGAGCACAATTAGCAAAAATATTAGAGAAAGTGCTTTGAAAGAAGCCAGCTCAAGCAGTACTAATGAAGTGGGTCCTAGTACTAATGAAGTAGGCTCCAGTGGTGAAAACGTTCAAGCAGAACTAGGTAGAAACAGAGGATCTAAATTGAATGCTATACTTAGATTGAGTCTTATGCAACCTGAAATCTATAAGCAAAGTCCTCCTATAAGTAATTGTAAGCAGCCTGAAATAAAAAGGCAAGAAGAAAATGAAGGAGCACTTCTGACTGTTAATAAAGATTTCTCTGAATATTTAATTTCGGATCACCTAGAACAACCTATAGAAAGTAGTCATGTTTCTCAGGTTTGTTCTGAGACACCTGATGACCTGTTGGATGAGGATGAAATAAAGGAAAATACTAGCTTTACTGAAAGTGATATTAAGGAAAAATCTGTTATTTTTAGCAAAAACGTCCAACAAGGAGAGTTTAGCAGGAGCCCTAATCCAGTGGCCCATACATGTTTGCCTCAAGATCACCAAAGAGGGGCCAGGAAATTAGAGTCCTCAGAAGAAAACATATCTAGTGAGGATGAAGAGCTTCCCTGCTTCCAACATATAATATTTGGTAAAGTAACCAATATACCTTCTCAATCTGTCAAACATAGCACTGTTGCCACTGAGTGTCTGTCCAAGAAAACAGAGGAGAACATAGTATCACTGAAGAATAGCTTAAATGACTGTAGTAACCAGGTCATATTGGCAAAGACATCCCAAGAACATCACCTTAGTGAGGAAGAAAAATGTTCTGCCAGCTTGTTTTCTTCACAGTGCAGTGCATTGGAAGACTTGGCTGCAAATACAAACACCCAGGATCCCTTCTTGATGTTTGATCCTCCTTCGAAACAAATGAGTCATCAGTCTGAAAACCAGGAAGTTGTTCTGAGTGATGAGGAATTGGTTTCTGATGATGAAGAAAGGGAAATGGGCCTGGAGGAAGATAATCACCAAGAAGAGCAAAGTGTGGATTCAAACTTAGGTATTGGAACCAGGTTTTCATGTTCGACCCAGTCAATTTATAGAAATGAACTAAATGATATAATATATTTTGGGGAGCAGTTTTTTGTTTGTTTGTTTTTGAGTTGGAGTCTTACTCTTTGTTGCCCAGGCTAGAGTGCAGTGGCGCACTCACAGTCACGGCAGCCTCAACCTGCTGGGTTTAGGATCCTTCTACCTCAACCTTCCAAGTAGCTGGAACTGTACATGCACACCACTATGCCCGGCTAGTTTTTATGATTTATTGTAGAGATGAGGTCTCAAACCCTGGGGCTCAGGCAGTCCTCTCACTTCAGCCTCCCAAAATGCTAGGATTACAGGCTAAGCCACTGCATCCAGCCGGGGAGCACATTTTACAAGTTTCCAAATGTCATTAAAGTACCTGCTTCTTAAACATGAAGCATGTTTTTCCTAAGGTGCTTTTCCTTAAAAGTCAAAGGCCCTTTACTCAGCTAGAATGTCATCTCTGATCAAATGAGATTTAATGTCCTAATTATTAATGGACTTGTTTCTGTTTTTCTTTTATTTTTTAGTTTTTAGGGCCACACCACTTTAATGGGGGTGGGGGGAACAAGAAACAAGAGGCGGGTAAGAGGGCAAAGAGCGTTGACCTCGGCCTGGTGGACCTCCCAGGTTTTTTGCTGCTGCCAAAAGCTGATTTTCATTTTCTTTCTTTCTTTCTATCTTTCTTTCTTTCTTTCTTTCTTTCTTTCTTTCTTTCCTTCTTTCCTTCTTTCCTTCTTTCTTTCCTTCTTTCCTTCTTTCCTTCTTCCCTTCTTTCCTTCTTTCCTTCTTTCCTTCCTTCCTTCCTTCCTTCCTTCCTGCCTTCCTGCCTTCCTTCTTTCTTTCTTTCTTTCTTTTTTTTTTTTTTTTTGAGACAGTCTCACTCTGTTGCCCAGGCTGGAGCGCAGTAACACACTCATGGACACCACAACCTCAGCCTGCTGGGCTCAAGCAAATCTTCCGCTTCAGCCTTCCAAGTAGCTGGAACCACAGGCATGCACCACCATACCCGACTGATTTTTTAATTTATTGTAAAGACAAGGTCTTGCCATGTTGCTCAGGCATGTCTCAAACCCCTAAGCTCAGGCCATCCTCTTGCCTCTGCCTCCCAAAGTGCTGGGATTACAGGCGTGAGCCACCAAGCCTGACTTGTTTACATTTTCTAAAGGAAATCCTGGTGTTCCAAAGCATGGAGTTTAATCATTTTGTGTGACATAAAAGTAAAAATCAGTCCTGCCAATGGGAAGAGAAAGATACAACAAGTTCTAGTGTTTAGTTTGTTTTTACATCTGAACCTCTTTTAATATTATTTAAGGTGAAGCTGCATCTGGGTATGAGAGTGAAACAAACCTCTCAGAAGACTGCTCAAGGCTGTCCTCTCAGAGTGATATTTTAACCACTCAGGTAAAAAGCATGTATGAGTATGTGTGTTGTGTCCTTTGCATTCAGTGGTATGTATCCCACCTTCTTATGTTTGCTGACATTATCCCTTTGAATTAATGGCATAACTTGTGTGTGGTATATTGTAAACCCTCAGTAGATTGTAAGCATTTCAGTGGAACTCATACTACCTTTTATTTCACACACAGACATACATACCATCTAGCTCACTGTAGAAAACCAACTACTGAATTTAATGGATAAGCTAAACCTTAAAAACCCATTTGCAGCCGTGCTCGGTGGCTCAGCCTGTAATCCCGTACCTGAGGCTGACGCAGAGGTGAGTGGATTGCCTGAGCCCGCGGGTTCGAGACCCGCCCGGGCAACTTGGTGAGACCGCATCTCTACAATAAATCAAAAAATTAGCCAGGTATGGTAGCGTGCACCTGTAGTTCCAGCTACTTGGAAGGCTGAGGCCAAAGGATCGCCGGAGCCCAGCAGGTCGAGGCTGTGGTGGCCGGGAGCGGCCACTGCACTCCAGTCTGGGCAACAGGGTGAGACTCCAACTCAAAAAAAACCCCTTTGTCCTATAGCAAAAACATATGTGAAAACACTGTTGGCCAGGCGCGGTGGCTCAACCTGTAATCCCAGCACTTTGGAAGGCCAAGATAAGAGGATTACCTGAGTCCAGGGGCTTGAGACCAGCTTGGGTAACTTAGTGAGACCTCATCTCTACAAAAAAAATCACAAAACTAACCACTAATACAGGTGACATGCATCTGTATTTCCAGCTACTTGGATGGCTGAGGTGGAAAGATTGCCTAAGCCCAGCAGGTCAAGACTGTGGTGGCCATGAGCGTGCCACTGCACTCCAGCCTCGGCAATAAGAGTGAGACTCCAACTCAAAAAAAAAGAAAAGAAAACACTGTTGTGCCAAGAGAGGGGTGTGTTTATTCTTGATCCCAAATTGGAGCTCATAGGGTTCTCTTCCTATTAGAGAACACCTAGCCTTTCATTGGTTTGTACCTATTTCTGGGTTGTTGTTTTTTTTTCCTTTTTAGTCTATTATTTTTTGTAAAGATGAGGTCTTTCTATGTTGCCTAGGATACTCTCAAACCCACCTTGGTCTCTCAAAATGCTGGGATTACAGACGTGAGCCGCAGTACCCAACTCATCTTATTTCTTTTTTTTGTTTGTTTGTTTGTTTGTTTTTCGAGTTGGAGTCCAACTCTGTTGCCCAGGCTGGAGTACAGTGGCACAATCACAGCCCCCAGCATCAACCTGCTGGACTCCAGCGATCTTTCTGCCTCAGCCTTCCAAGTCGCCAGAACTACAGGTGCAGGCTACCTCACTGGGCTCATTTTTTATTTATTGTAGAGACAAGTTGCCCGGGCTGGTCTCGAACCTACAGGTTCAGGCAATCCAGTTACCTCGGCCACCCAAAGTGCTGGGATTACAAACCCAGCCATCTATTTCTTTTTAAAGAAAAGTAGCCTGGCTCGGCGGCTTAGTCTGTAATCCCAGCACTTTGGGAGACTGAGGCGAGTGAATTGCCTGAGCCCGCGGGTTCGTGACTCGCCCAGGCAACTTGGCAAGACCTCATTTCTACAATAAATAAAAAATTAGCCAGGTGTGGTAGCACGCACCTTTAGTTCTGGCTACTTGGAAGGCTGAGGCAGAAGGATCGCCCGAGTTCTGCAGGTCAAGGCTGTGGTGACTGGGAGCGTGCCACTGCACTCCAGTCTGGACGACAGAGTGAGACTCTAACTAAAAAAAAAAAGAAAAGAAAAATATATGATCTTACTTCCTGGACCTAGTGGTCAAGGCCAATAACTTGATTACTTATGAAGCAGATAACAATTTTTTCCATATTTGTGACATTCAGTAATGTAAAATGCTTCTGTACTGAGGGCAGAAAAAGCATTCTCTATCACAACCTAAAAATCAACATTATTTTCCTGTCTCTGTCTCCTAATTTTTAGTTTGTAGAAGTGGCACCAAAATTTTCCAAGTCCTCATTCAGAAATTCAGGCTCAGCTTATTTCATGTATTTGTCTCCCACCAGATTGACATCTTATGGTTAACTCTTTGTATTCCTAACACAGGATCCTATGCAGAACACACACACAGCAATTGCTGGCAGTAATATTGTGAGAATTATGAGCTGGCTATGTGACCTTAGGCTATTTGCTTGCTTTCTCTGAGCTGTAATAGGCACATTCTTTTTTCTGAGTTGGAGTCTCACTCTGTCGCCCAGACTGGAGTGCAGTGGCATGCTCCCGGCCACTGCAGCCTCGACCTGCTGGGCTCAAGTGATCCTTCTGCCTCAGCCTCCCAAGTAGCTGGAACTACAGGCGTGTGCTACCACACCTGGCTAATTTTTTATTTTATTGTAGAGATGAGGTCTCACCAACTTGCCCAGGTGGGTCTCAAACCCGTGGGCTCAGGCAGTCCACTCACCTCAGCCTCCCAAAGCATGGGATTACAGGCTGAGTCACCGAGCCCGACTTAGGCACATTCTTTTTTTTGTATTTGTGTGTGTTGGAGTCTCACTCTGTCGCCCAGACTGGAGTGCAGTGCCACTCCCGGCCACCGCAGCCTCGACCTGCTGGGCTCCGGCGATCCTTCCGCCTCAGCCTTCCAAGTAGCCAGAATTACAGGCATGCACTACCACGCCCGGCTGATTTTTTGATTTATTGTAGAGATGAGGTCTCGCTGCCCAGGCGGGTCTCGAACCCGTGGGCTCAGGCAATCCACTCACCTCTGCCTCCCGAAGGCGCGGAATTACAGGCTGAGCCACCGAGCCCAGCAGGGCACATTCTTAATAGAGCTACTTAGACCCTTGAATCATCCTACTATGGCTTCTTTTTCTCACCTAAATCTTAAATATACTTTTAGCTGCCAGCATGTGAATGGTGTTGTTTTCTGGACTTCTTGAAGAGCCACATTTTCTCATGAAATTTAGAAAAGCCTGATATTCTTATAAAGTTGTACTTGTGAATCATAGAAAACTTAGGAAATATAGATAAACAAAAGTCATCCATGGATGAACTTCAAAACCCTTGTTAAGTGAAATAAGCTGGACACCAAAGGACAAATAGTGTGTGACTCCACTTATATGAGGTACCTAGAATAGTTAAATTCATAGAGACTGAAGGTAGAATAGTAGTTAGCGGGGACTTGGGAGAGGTAGAAATGGAAAGTTATTGTTTGATGTGTACAGATTTCACTTTGGGATGATGAAAAAGTTCTGGAGATGGATAGTCATAATAGTTGCACAACAGTGTGAAAGTATTTAATGCCACTGAACTGTACACCTCAAATGGTTACAATGGTAAATTACATTGTACAAGTTATCCAGAAATGGTAACTATTAATTTATTGGTATATGTTCTTTGTCTTCCTGTGCGTGCACAGGGGTGCTTATGTAAATCTTAAAAAAAATTCAGATAATACTCTACATATTTACGTTGTAATCTAGCTTTTACTGTGTTATTAAAATTCTTCAATGACTTTTTAATTACTATATAGCATTCTATCCCTTGGTTATATCATGATTTATTTGACCTATGACTGAATGTTGATTTTAGGGTAAGACGCAACAGTTTGATATTATGTACATCCCTGTAGTAGACATCTGGTTGCTAAATATATGCCCACATCTCTGATGATTGCCTTGCTATAAATTCCTACGACTAGGATTTTTGGTCTTTGATACATATTGCTGAATTGTTCTTTAGAAAGCCTAAACCAATGTGTGCTCCTCCAGCCCTTGTGGTATTTGCTAGTTCCCATTTTCCCGTGCCTTTGCCAATATTGAGTTGTTTACAGTTTTAAAATCTTCTAAATCTTCCATTGCTATAAAACTACAGGTAGAGAGGTCTTGTCTTCTAATGTCCTTTCTCTGTACGGAGCAAACCCTATAGGCCTCCAGTCCACTGGAGTTGGCAAGAAACCTTTGAGATGCCTGCTCATTCTGTACCTGAGTTGTCACCAGTATTCTTTACTTCTGCAGGATCGCCATGGTGATGAAATTGATGAAAAGACTTAGGAGGCCTTTTCTCTGTTTGCTTTTCTTATGATCCTTTCTGGATGTGGATTTGGGACTTCGTCAAAATGTCTGTCACCTAATTCTATCCCTTGTGCTTTAGGGTTTTACGTTCCAGTTTTTGATACCATCCGCCTTAGTCATACTGTATCATATTTGACTATCAGTAAATTATCTCCTCTTTTTTTTGTATTCTTATTCCCAGAGTTAGGTCTATTTGTTCAGGATTCATTTTGCAAAGTGTTTTTAATCAAGCATCTACCTAAAACAGCGGAAGTCAGATTTCAGGCTAACTTAAATCTGTAGTAGCACAGACAGGCAAAATGATTGAAGTAGGATCTTTCCCCTGTTTGAACAGAGTCAAAGAAAAGTACATCAAAGATAGAAAATTCCTAATTTGGAATTGGTATCATTAGTATCTGTTTGTTTTTTTGTTTGTTGTTTTTGTTTTTTGAGTCAAAGTCTCACTCTGTCACCCAGGTTGGAGAGCAGTGGAACAATCACTGCTCACAGCAGCTTCAAACTTCATGCAATCCTTCCACCTCAGCATCCCAAGTAGCTGGGACTACAGGCTTAGGCCACCATGCCCAGCTAATTTTTTTTTTAATTTTTTTGTGGAGGCAGCGAGGTTTTGCTATGTTGCCCAGGCTGGTCTCAAACTTTTCATCCCAAGCAACCTGTCCGTATCAGCCTCCCAAAATGCTGGGATTACAGGCGTGAACCACTGCACCTGGCCTGTTGTTTTTTAACAGAAGGCTGATTAACTATATTCATTCATTAATCAATTCTGCATTAAACATTTTTTTTTTGAGTTGGAGTCTCACTCTGTCGCCCAGTCTGGAGTGCAATGGCATGCTCCCAGCCACCGCAGCCTCGACCTGCTGGGCTCCGGCAATCCTTCCACTTCAGCCTTCCAAGTAGCTGGAACTACAGGCGTGTGCTACCAAGCCCGGTTAATTTTTTTTTTATTTATTGTAGAGATAAAGTCTTGCCAAGTTGCCCGGGCGGGTCTCGAACCCTCAGGCTCAGGCAATCCACTCACCTCAGCCTCCCAAAGCGTGAGATTACAGCCTAAGCCACCGAGCCCCGCTTGCATTAAACATTTACTGAGTACTTACTAGCTTCTAGTCATTGGAGAGACAAAAATGATTTTTTTTTTGAGTAGGAGTCTCACTTTGTCGCCTAGGCTGGAATGCAGTGGCACACTCAAGGCCACCGCAGCCTCAACTGGCTCAGGTGATCCTTCCACCTAAACCTTCCAAGTAGCTAGAACTGCAGTACATACCACCATGCCTGGCTAATTTTTTAATTTACTTTTAGAGACGAGGTCACACCAAGTTGCCCAGGCTGGTCTCGATCCCCTGGGCTCAGGCAATCCTCTGGCCTCTGCCTCCCAAAGTGCTGGGATTACGGACATGAGCCACCACATCTGGCTACAAAAATGATTAAGAAAGAATTCCTCGGCCGGGCTTGGTGGCTCAGCCTGTAGTCCCAGCACTTTGGGAGGCCCAGGTGAGTGAATTGCCTGAGCCCGCGGGTTCAAGACCCGCCTGGGCAACTTGGTGAGACCTCATCTCCACAATAAATCAAAAATTAGCCAGGCGTGGTAGTGCACACCTGTAGTTCCAGCTACTTGGAAGGCTGAGGCAGAAGGATCGCCGGAGCCCAGCAGGCGAGGCTGCGGTGGCCGGGAGCGGCCACTGAACTCCAGTCTAGGTGACAGAGTGAGACTCCAACTCAAAACAAAAACGAAAAAAGAATTCCTCCCATCATGGAAAGCACATGTTCCATTCAGGTATACTAACAAATTAGCATTGTAAAATCAAGTAGTGAGGGATCATTTGTTTCTAATAGGAGATGGCCTATTGTTGGAGACTGCCAAGGTAGATACTCGAGCTAGGCCTTGAAAGATGAGAAGAACTTTTGAGTGAAAAAAGGAGAGGCCGAATTGAGGTGAAGGCCCAGAGGCATGGAATGATCAGGAAACAAAGTTGTCCTGTGTCATTGGAAAACAGGGCATATGGGGGATGTTGAAGGGAGAAATAAGAGATAAGCTTGATGGGCCTTTCAAATGCTTTGCTTAGGAATCTGGACTTTATCCTAAGTGCAATAATGACTAACAGTTATATAGTGTTCAGAAAGTATTAACTTATTTCGGAGCAATAATATACCACTAGGGTCCTTATGGAAGAAAAAGACAGGATAAACGTGACTTTTAGGGAACTTCTACAGTAATATAGCTGTATTAAAAGCAGAGATTAGAGAAGCATATTGGGAATAGAAGAGTAAAGCTAATTAAAGGAACACTTCAGAATTAGAATCAAGTCTTGGTAACCTATTGATTTTGTTCTCCCTAATGTATTTGGTTACTTGCCTGATTCCCCCGTTACTATTTCTTGTGATTTTCTGATCTATGTAATGACCACATAGAGGTTAGATGTGATGGTTGTGATCGTAGTCAGTAATACAGCTTCTGAAACACTGGTCTGTTATCTGTGTGGTTTCGTTCTAGTTTTACTGAGGCAAGGCCTTGGCTAGGGTTTGTTCGGTGATGTAACTACTCACAAGTACCACGTGGTGGCAATGGTGTTGCTGCAGATATTGGCAGCAAAGCATTCTCAGGGTAGCAGTGAAAACCTTTGTGAGACTGGGAATACATTTCCAATCGTAAAACTCTCCTGAAAGCTATGAACTCACTGTAGCAGGAGAAAGAAGATTGCTTATTTTTAGTGGAGGGCAAAATCGTTTTAAAGGATCAGAAGAAGTGGAGGGTGAAACAATCTGTCTTTCTCCACCACACCCCCAGCCTGCTGACAACCACTGATGTTCTTTCTGAAAACGAAGAAATGGGTTGGGCACGGTGGATCATACCTCTAATTCCAGCACTTTGGGAAGCTGAAGCCAGAGGATTGCTTAAGCCCAGAAGTTTGAGACTAACCTAGGCAATGTAGCAAGTCCTCATCTCTTGTTCAGTTCATTCAACAACTATTTACTATCTATTATATGCCAGGCACTGTCCTAGTGCTGGGGATAAAGCCTTCATGGTGCTGCCATTGTAGACAGGGCACCCAAAGATCATTAGGCAAAAAGAACTTGCTAGAGGGAAGGATCTAACGGAAAGGATCCTAGGAAAGTCCACAAGGCATGGTGGTGTGTGCCTGTAGTCCCAGGAGGCTGAGGCTATGGTGAGCTGTGATTGTGCCACTGCACTCCACCCTAGGCAACAGTGTGAGACCTTGACTCAAAAGAATAAATAAAAGTTAAGAAATGAGCCAGGTGCAGTGACTCACATCTGTAATCCCAGTACTTTTAGAGGTGAAGGCGAGAGGATTGCCTGAACTCAGGAGTTCGAGACCAGCCTGAACAACATGGTGAGACCTCGTCTCTACAATAAATCAAAAAATTAGTCAGGCATGGTAGCGCATGCCTGTGGTTCCAGCTACTTAGGAGACTGAGGCAGAAGGATCGCCTGAGCTCAGCAGTTCGAGGCTACGGTGGCTGTTAAGTGTGCCACTGCACTCCAGCCTGGGCAACGAGTAAGACTCCAACTCAGAAAAAAAAATGTATGTATATTTTGGAAAATTCCTACATACCTGTGGTCTCTGTTTATCAAATATCTCAGACTTAATAGATTTCTTCTTTTTTTTTTTTTTTTTTTTGAGTTGGTGTCTCACTCTGTCAGGCAATCCTCTCGCCTCAGCCTCCCAAAGTGCTGGGATTACAGGCTGAGCCACCGAGCCTGGCCTTTTTTTTTTTTTGAGTTGAACTCACTCAGTTGCCCAGACTGGAGTACAGTGGCATGCTCACAACCACCCCAGCATTGACCTGCTGGGCTCCGGCAATCCTTCCGCCTCAACCTTCCAAGTAGCTGGAACTACAGGCACACACTACCATGCCCAGCTAATTTTTTATTTATTATAGAGATGAGGTCTCCCCAAGGTACCCGGTGGGTCTCGAACCCGCGGGCTCAGGCAATGCATTTGCCTCAGCCTCCCAAAGTGCTGGGATTACAGACTAAGCCACCAAGCCAGGCCTCACATTCCTTCTTAAAATGGAGCAATAAACAGCAGGAACCACAGAAACAAGAATAGCCCATTATCTTTTTTTTTTTTTTTTTTTTTTTGAGTTGAAGTCTCACTCTGTCACCCAGACTGGGGTGCAGTGGCCGCTCCCAGCAACCGCAGCCTCAACCTACTGGGCTCCGGCGATCCTTCCGCCTCAGCCTTCCAAGTAGCTGGAACTACAGGTGCGAGCTACCACACCCAGCTAATTTTTTGATTTATTGTAGAGATGAGGTCTCGCCAAGTTGCCCAGGCGGGTCTTGAACCCATGGGCTCAGGCAATCCACTCACCTTGACCTCCCAAAGCACTGGATTACAGGCTGAGCCACTGAGCCCGTCTTTAAATGTTGTATGAGTCTCACAATAGCAGATCTTTGAAACATAACCTATATAAAGTGTTAGATTCACATTAATTTAAAATATCAATAGTGTTTTAAGTATTTTAATTACTTTTTCACTGCCTACCTTTTTTTGTTGTTGTTGTTGGAGTTGGAGTCTCGCTCTGTCACCCAGGCTGGAGTACAGTGGCACACTCACAGCTGCCACAGCCTTGACCTGCTGGGCTCAGATGATCCTTCTGCCTCAGCCTTCTGAGTAGCTGGGACTACAGACATGTGCCACCACACCCAACTAATTTTTTTTTTTTTTTTTTTTTTTTGTATAGATGAGGTCTCGCTAAGATGCCCAGGCTGGTCTTGAACCCTTGGGCTCAGGTAGTCCTCCCATCTCGGCCTCCCAAAGGGCTGGGATTATAGACGTGAACCATTGTGCCCGGCTCACTGCCTGACTTTAAAAGAAAATAACCAACTTCAAAAGGACATAACAATTAAGCAAGTCTATTTAGGAGAGGATTTTTTTCCTTGACTCACATTGTTCTGAAATAATTTCATGGGCATTAATTGCATGAATGTGGCTGGATTAAAAGGTGTTCAACCATTTAATTCCATACTCGGTGATTTCAATTCCTGTGCTAAAATTAATTGGTGTGACATATTTTCACTTATGGAAAGCTTCTCAAAGTGTGACTTCCTTGGTGCCATTTCTTGTTTTTACAGCAGAGGGATACCATGCAAATTAACTTGGTACAGCTCCAACAGGAAATGGCCAAACTGGAAGCTGTGTTGGAACAGCACGGGAGCCAGCCTTCTAACAGCTCCCCTTCCCTGATAGCTGACTCTTGTGCCTCCGAGGACCTGTTAAATCTGGAACAAAACATACCAGAAAAAGGTTTGTAATGTTGGCCAAATACTGTTATCTTAAGCAAAATTCTTTCCCTCCCTAAGCCTTTATCTCCTGAAAAGTAGAGACCTAGCTCCAACATTTTATGATCTTTGCTTAGCACATATTTACTGAGTCATTCCATGGGGAATTATGGAACCTTGGTTTCTAGTCCCTGTTTACAACTACTTTACCAGTCAGATGGCCCAAGTCAGTCATTCATATCATTTTTGGAGAGCACTTATAACAAGGAGATGCTGTGGGAAGCCTGCAGGAGACAGATAATAGACCATAATAGACCATATAGTTCTTGCTCTTAGGAAGCTAAGTGGAATGGAGGAAACTGGCAACAGGTAGCCCCATAATTTCAGAAAGCTATGAAAAAACACTCCTTATAACACTAATATGCTTTCTGACTTATAGGAAGAGACATCCTATACTTCAGGAATTGCGCTTTGATCTACCAATGCCCAATTATGCAGTAAAGTCAGGTGCTTTGTAACAATGTTATAGCTGTCAACAAGTTCAGATGGACCTCTGAGAGGAGGCTCTTAGAGTAACCAGACAGGTGGACTTGGTAAGAACTAACTTCCTGTAAGAGGTGAGCCCTGAGCTGAGGAATAACAACACATAAATGAAGCAAAGTGAGACAAAAATTTGAGTTTTTAATGGAGAGACAGCACATCAGACAGTATTTTGTTTGTTTTTTGTCTTTTGAGTTGGAGTCTCATTCTTTGTCACCCAGGCTGGAGTGCAGTGGCACGCTTACGGCCACCACAGCCTCAACCAACCTGCTGGACTTAGACAATCCTTCTGCCTCCGCCTTCCAAGTAGCTGGAACTGCAGATGCATGTCACCACGCCTGGCTAGTTTTTGTGATTTTTGTGTGTGTGTGTGTGTGTTGGAGTCTCACTCTGTTGCCCAGACTGGAGTGCAGTGGCACACTCCCGGCCACCGCAGCCTCGACCTGCTGGGCTCCAGCGATCCTTCTGCCTCAGCCTTCCAACTAGCTGGAACTACAGGCACACGCTAATGCCAGGCTAATTTTTTATTTATTGTAGAGATGAGGTCTCACCAAGTTGGCCGGATGGGTCTCGAACCCACGGGCTCAGGCAGTCCACTCACCTCGGCCTCCCAAAGTGCTGGGATTACAGGCTGAGCCACCAAGCCCATCCGTTTTTGTGATTTATTGTAAGACGAGGTCTCACCAAATTGCCCAGGCTGATCTCAAGCCCCCAGGCTCAGGCAATCCTCTCACCTCGGCCTCCCAAAGTGCTGGGATTGTAGGCCGAGCCACTGTGCCTGACCAGGCAGGATTTTAATAGGGGAAAATATGTCATATAAGAGAGGTGAGGCATGGGGTCCACAAGGGAGCTTGCCGCTTAGAAACGGATAGGTGTGGTGAGCCTTTTCAAAATGCTCTTTCTAACTCAGTGATTACTGACTGCATGACTGGCTTGATGTTCAAGTTCCTTCTCCAGCACTTCCTTTTACAGTTCTTCTGGGGACCCTGAGGCCTTCCTTTGAGTCTTTCTAGGAACTGAAGTCTGTTAATTATTCAGAACAGTGGCCTTGGTCCCCAAGTGAGCTTTTCAGTGTTTTTATGTTAAGGAAGAAACAGTAGCTTATGCATGAGAAGCTGGGAACTCTGTTGCTATAGCAGTGCTTCCTAGTGTATTTCTTTTCTTTTCTTTTTTTTTTTTTTTTTTT